GATATTGGGTTGGTCGGTCGAATTAAAAAAAAAAAGCTAAAAAAAAAGTCACAAGAAGTCTCGGAATAGGAGGCCCCGGTAACCCAGGACGACGTTAAAAGTTAACATTCACATATTTGGATTAACAAAATACACAATATACTGTAAACAATGTTCATGTTTTTGTTGCTATTTTTCTCTAAGCTGTTACTATGCTCATTTTTCATTATTTCAAGTGAGAAATGGTTCAACTACGTAGTTACATTTTTTTGTTTAGAAAATGCCAAAAATTTTGGTAGGTCGGACGACGCTAAACGGAGAAAAAAAAAGAGGATGGCCTAGTAACAACGAATGTAAAGTTCTTTCAGTCTTGGGGCAGACTGAGCAGGTTGTTGGAAAATTAAACTGTGGAATCCTTAGCTTCACAGTCCGGGAGAAACCACGTTCAAATTTATTAAGTTCATAAAAGAATTTGGCAACTGTCGAGAAAGAACGGCATAATAGTGAGTTTCTGACGGAAATTTAATTTTTTTCTGTGAACTCCTGTGCCAGTCACGCCACAGGAGGTCTATATACCATTATTTCAAGGGCGATTTTTGGTGTTCTAATAACACAGGTATAAAAATGAAACCAATTATAATGGCTATATAGTTTTAGTGGTAATCAACGAAACGTATCTCTTATTAAATTTTTTATTTGCGACAGTACGTGAATAACAAACCTAACGAAAACGTTCTGAATTAATTTGTTTGTTCAGTCTTATTTGGATGTTTCCTCTTTTTAATTTTGCTGATAAGATTCTTCAGCTGTGGGTAACTTTTCTTGCTGAAACCTCGAAAGACTTGGAAATAATCCTCATAATTATCGTACTGAGTTTTACGAATCGTCTTTCACGCACTGGCCTTTATCTTAGCCTTAAGACAAGTTTCGTTTATTCAAACCTCTTCAGTTTGGCTAAAACTTCAGCTTCAGCTGGAATTATAGAAAAGAGTAGAGAAGCCAAAAAAACGTATTCTTCAACTTACAGTTCCTCGATTATTTTTGGACTGGTTTTCGGCCATAGTCAATAAGCATGGGAATGGCTAAAATTGATTTTTGCAAAAAGTGTACATTTTCTAGCTAATTGGATGTAATGAAGCAGCTTGTTTTTCGCGCATGCGCATAGGCCTTTTTTGCGGATCTCTTTTGATCTTTCTCTCTCGCTCTCTTTTTGGTTTTTTACCTTTCTTTCTATAGCCATATTTGTCGCCCACTCTATCGTCTTTCTTTCGCGTGGTTTTTTAGGAGAGAAACAGAACTAATCTGCAAAGAGCAGTACGTAGGCGAATAGCGAAATTGGCAGTGTTTCAAAATATTACTTGGTTTATTGTGCGTAATTCTGTCAGGGTTGGTCAGAATTTCAAAACGAGGTTTCACAGAAAGGCTATCCTTGCTGATGTTGCTGCTTTCCAAATTAATGGCTTAAACTGAATCTAACTGAATCCAGGAATGAAAATGTGCATCAGTCTTTCAAAATGGCCACTAAAACGACCAAAGCGTTAATCACTAAGACCTTTTGTTACTGTTTGTTACGTGTTATAAGTGCTTTACAGCACGTAACAAACAGTATAACTGATACGGTTCTGGAACTATTGTAATCTCTTGCCAAGATATTAAGCACGCAAATGTCGTAACTAGATTACCATAGAATGAAATTTTAAAAACGCAAGGTCTTTCGAAATTATGCAATTTGTGACATTTTAATTGAATGTTTACTTAGTAAAGGTGACAAATTTGTGTTTGCGTTTTCCCACATTGTGATTTTCAATAGTTAATACTACCAACGATTAAAAAATGTTCATTACTAGTAAAACTCAATCAACTCATAAAGCACCATTACGAATGAATAGAAATAATAGCAAAGAAATTAATTTGGCTAAACCAATTCGAGTCAAAACAAGCACTTTTCCTGTAATATGATATTTGAAAGACTCCATTCCTCACAAACGCAAACACCCTACGTTTTTTAAAATAACGGAGCTAAATATCTTATTGAACTTTTTAAAAAGTCGTATAAGAACAATCAAATTCCTTCTTGTAGCTTCTTGTCATAACAACGCTTTATGAAAAGGGGTAAAATGGGAGATAGCAGGTAGCGAACCCAGTCCCTTCGGCTCCTAAGGTCGCGTGTTACTGCACGTACGAGAACAATAGAAATGACCATTCATTCATGCATTTATTCATTCATTCATTCATTCATTCATTCATTCATTGATTCATTCATTCATTCATTCATTGATTCATTGATTCATTGATTCATTGATTGATTGATTCATTCATTCATTCATTCATTCATTCATTCATTCATTCATTCATTCATTCATTCATTCATTCATTCATTCATTCATTCATTCATTCATTCATTCATTCATTCATTCATTCATTCATTCATTCATTCATTGATTCATTCATTCATTCATTCATTCATTCATTCATTCATTCAATCATTGGTTCAATCTTAAACCGACGATATCATACAGCCTTACTGGCTATGAGCCAGTAAGCTCAAAAACGGGATGCTACATAACTAGTGAATATTTAACAATTATTCCTCGAGCCCGAATGGGCTCTTAGTCAATAGCCCACAAGGTCGAAGGCCGAATGGGCTATTGACTCAGACGCCATGAGGGCAAGAGGAATAATTGTTTTAGTAAAATCCAACTAGTTGGTCAAAAATATCAAGACAAAACAACTTTAGGTAGCAAAACGCGATTCAGCCGCCATTGTTTTGGTTTTCAAAGCCGGCGCTTTTCGCTACTAGTAGGCTATAACATATAGCATAGTAGAAGGTCGACCATTCAGAACGCAGCATTGATATTAGACCACTAGTTGGATTTTACTAATATAGCTTATCCGTTTTCAGCAGCGATTGAATTAACTTTCGATTTTGTTTTACTAACCTTTGCCCTTTTTTCAGCTGAAACACTTCTGCTCACAGGTAGCTTATGCCCATGAATGCTCGTACCTTTGTTGTACATAAATTGGCCGCCTACACCTGTGTAAACATAGGTGAGTGTACCATGATTTTGGTTGGGCGGATCCAGGGGATAGCCCCCGGGGGCCGGCCCCCCTTATTTTCAGACCAAAGTGAGGCCCGAAGGGCCGAAAAAGATTTATTTTGAGACCGGCCCCCGGGGTTCTGGATGACCGCTTCCCCAAAGACAAGTATACAGCTTCATTTAAGTGTTTTCTATCGTTTGATAACCCAAACTGAACTAATTCTCCAATCCTACTTGTCAGGAGAAATTAAAAAGTGCAAAACCGATTCTGAATACGCGGGAGGAGCGTGGCGTGATGGACGACACAAAGAGCATCTGTGAAGCAGACTAGAATACGTGCTAATTTTTTAATATTTGTCTAGCCTGAGTAACAATAGCCATCCTAAACTGTTTTTGTAACTGTGGTAATTATAGGCTTTTAAGGTGTTAAGGAAAAAGTGATCAATAGAAGTCGATATTTTGCGGTGAAATCTAGTACACTTTCGACGTGGACCAGTTGGAGAAAATCCGTCAACTCCGCTATAGAAAGAGCACCTTTAAATTAGTACGATTGCGAAGTTTGAATGTGATAAGTCTTAAGTGAGCGAAGACATAGCTTTGAAAAGTTGCGAAAATTTACAGACGTTTGTATGGTGAAGGGCAACTGGGCAAGGCCCACACCATATAAACGTCTGTAAAATTTCACGACTTGGGGGAGCTATAAATATCTTCGTTAGTTTTCAACAAATCACTTTCAAACTTGGCAATCTTACTAATTTGAAGGTGATCTTTGTAGCGGAGTTGATCGGTTTTTCCTAACTAGTCCATGTCACAAGTTGGAAAATGCCGCGGACGGGTCTAGGGGAAACCTTAATTCGAATCAAGCAGTTAACTTAAAATATGCTTCCCCTTTTAAAGCCTTAAAATTTAGTGCTAGTCCAACAATCTTGCGGCTTTTTCTTGTAAATCGACATTTGGGAAAAAAAGTGTCAAATACTTGGACAAATTTTGTGTTAAAAAAAAAGGATCTGGAAGTCCGGGGTTCAAGCCTCGCCCGTCGCGTTGTTTCCCAAGACAAGGAACTTCACTCCACTTTGCCTCTCTTTACCCAGGTGTGTAAACGGGTATTGGCGGCATACTGCTGGGAAGTAACCCTGCCATGGACTAGCTTTAATTACCTTCCAGCGGGAGCAATACTCTTAGGCATGTTTCATGTTAAGGAAACCGGGATAAGCTCCGGTCGTTTGGACCTTTCGCTCGTGTGCGCTTTAACCTTTACCCTTACCTATATATCGTTTAATAACAAAAGCCTAATTAATTTCGCGCTATGTTCGTTCCACTATTTTACTTTACGGAATTAGTAAGTAGCAATGTAAAAATGCAAAGGTGCTATTGAATTTCATAAGTTTTTATTTGCTGAGTGTTTAGCTTTGGAAAAACACAATATTCTAATGCATAACATTCTATTACATACTGAGTGCAATTTTTCGTATTCCAGAACGATCCTAGTTTGCAATTCATCTACCCTTTAAACTGGTACTTGTAACTATGGCAACCACGTTGACAGCTCCAATCTTTTTATCCAAACTGAGGGAAGCGGGAAGGACCTCGTGGACCGTCGTCAAGCATACATGTCTTTAGGATCTTTTCAATGATGCCCCCTCGGCCGCATCCTCTCTTTTTGTTTCCCCAATGGCCTTGGAACCCTATGAACTTAAACTCGCCGCCGTATTGGCCATTAGGATCGTACCGAACGGGCTTCAATTTATTCCACGTGTGCCAACTTGTACCACTACTGCACTCATCCTGCAGCCACTGCCCAGTCAATGGAATTTTCTTGTACTTGTGTTTTCCAGAATTCGGCCAAATTCCATGCGAACCCTTGGCGCTGTAGACTGTTGCGTGAGTACCGCCATACATATCCAGCGTTCTACTCCCCTTCTTGAACTTACCACCTTGCCAGAGGAACTCACCAACATACTTCTTCGTAATTGTTTGGCTGTGGGTCGACAGATAGATGGAGTAGATCTGGTAGTCGGTGTTGACTTTTCGAAAACGAACTATCACTTTCTCCCAGTCTCCAACGTGGTGCCCAAATGTTGAATATCCTCCAACGCAACGACCCCACATAAAGCGCCCAATGCAGGCCCGCTTCCCGCGATTGTACGGAAAGAACAACCAGTACGCAATATCCAAGAAATTGTTTTGCTCTCGATAGATGACGTACACTGGCACGTCACTCGGATCTTGACCACGAAACACAGTTGGGTCAGTGCAGGAAGGGCAGCTAATGCTCTGTTTGGTGGTGAGGTAACTGTTTCCATTGCATCTCTGGAGGTTGTAGACTGTTAAGTGCGTGGGCTTTGGTTGGCTACTGCACCCTTCCATCTTAGTTTGTCGCAAGAAGTAGTCAACACTAGATGGCCGAAACTCCTCTTTCTCAGCAAGTTTTACCAACGGAGCCCAATTGTGTATCAGCTTAGCTAACTTGCTTGGAACGCCGGGATAGGCACAAAAACTCGTGGAAAGTGTGAGAAGAAGGACAGCAAACTCTTTGATTGGCATCGTGTAGCTATAAAAGTAAATTAAAAGCAAGCAAATCATAGCTTGATCGAAAGAGCTTTCATCAGTGACTAATGTATTTGCGCTTTCAACTTTACCATATTCCCTGTTAACCTGTAAATTTTATTATAAAATATTCATTTAAAATATTTCATCGTTTTGATTGACTTTCACTCCCCCGCTAATTCTTGTGACGGACGCTTTTTCCACCCTGAAACGAATTTAAGGCTCAACGGGAACTCGGTGCTAAACTCTCGATAAAACTGGGGAAACAAGACTCAAATCATGTGGCAACTCGCTTCCGGGGGAGAGTCGTCACTTTAATTTTCTGTATACGTAGGGCCGGGATCAACCACTAAATGGTAAAGCAGCAGATTAACAGGACTAAGCTTCGGTTCTCAGCTGTTCCAACAGCGTTCCATTCTTTAGTGGATCAAATGGCAATAAGTCAGACAGTACCCGGCGAAAAAAAAAAAACGATGTTTCAAAAAATTGCAAGACAGCAAAGCCTTTCATATTCAAAATTCACCTCTTGCTTCTAATTAACTAACAACTTAATGAAAAATATATTCGCAAATAAATATAGCTAAATTGCTCTTAAAACGAGGTACAACTATACGAGAGGCGTTACTATGAATAGATGTCATCTGGTTGTAAGATCACTAAAGATGGACTAAAGTTAAATAACCATCAGACATTAATTATTCTAAGATCAACATTGAAATAAAATGTGTACAGTTGAAAAGATTAACTGGCAATTAGTTTTGTTTGTTGGAACACCATTATTCAGAAATTAAATTAAAGATCAACACTGAAATAAAATGTGTACAGTTGAAAAGACTAACTGGCAATTTTAGTTTTGTTTGTTAAGGAACACTGTTGGCTTTTCTACGATTATTACATAGCGAACACAAAAGCAAATTAAACAAAAGAACGTGATAAAATGGCAGCACCCTTTTTGCGGAAATAAAACATCGATATCTCAACGCAAATTCAGCTTAATTACGGCTAAAACAAATTCAAAGCGAATATTTAAAAGCTAGATAGGAAATTCGAGGCAAACAAAGAATACATTGAAAAATCTCTCCTTACCGCATTCCTCTCTCACCTTAAAAAATTTCGACGTCCTCGTGAAAGTGCTGAATTATAAAATACGTATAACGCTTGCACACCGAAATAGGGCACTGATGAAGAATAGCTTCAATTTCGTATTAAACTATGATAGAACTGTGAACTTTGATGTCACTTTGATCTGTCACAATTTGCTTGTGTACTTCGTCTCGCTAAGATATATCTTTGAGGCACAACTTGAAATTAGCTGGTTAGACTAAACGGTACTTAAACATCAATGTGTGTCATGACAATTGCAATTCCATGTATGAATTCTTTTTCGTGTTTCGTCTGCGAACTATGTGAACTATAACCTGATTATATATATACCTGGAACGGTTTTTTTTCCCTACACTTATACTTAACATTGATCCATCTGGGCTGAAATGACGTTCCTGGGGTGTGACGGAAGCTGGGCTTCACAAGTATGGAATAGTCATTCCTTGTATCTCTCTCTGAACGGTGCTTATGTCGCTGTGCAATGGATTCACGGGGACCTCGTTTGGGACGAGAATTCGAACTTTAGTGTAGAACTGCTTCGGGGAACTTCATAACCTATGTTCTTGCTGGAAAATTGGCACCACTTGTCATAGGTAGAAACTGTTTAATAATTCTCCTGTTTGACAGGCTGAGGCGGGTCTCTCATTGTCTAAGATTTGTGACGTTAGGTTTTTAGGGTGGATAAATAGACGGATAATCGACGGGATGATTCGAATAACTGAAGGACAGAATGGGACTAAAGCTCGGTAATGAACACATTGCTGGGCTGCTTGGCCAACGTGACAAACAATGCCAGGGGTACAAGGTCGTTAGTAACTTGTCCGTAGAGCAAAGCAGAAATCACCTCAACAGAACTGGAACTCTTCAAATATGTTATATCTTCTCACGTAGTTAGCTCGTTGACAACTCAGGTAATTCAGCATGGGTCACTTCTCTTGGCCTGACGTAATTCAGCTCTGTTGGCTCGATTGAGGTAAATCGTAGCCTCCCACGCAGGCGTTTTTAGGGGAGCTCGTTTTTCATCCCTCCCCACAAGCTCGCTTATATGGGGTCTGGACATGCTAATACTGTTCAAATGTTATGTTCGGCAAGTCCTTTAACTAAAATTACATTCACAGCAGAATACACAACTTATATCCTCGAAGTTAAAAACGAATGTGATATGTCTTAAGTGAGCAAAGATTTATCTTCGCAAAGTTTAGAAAATTCACAGACGTTCGTATGGTGAGGGGTAACTTGGCAAGGCCCAAACCATACAAACGTGACTCCGCTATAAAATTTCGCGACGTCTTTGAGGAACTATCCTAATATCTTCGTTAGTTTTCAACAAATCACTTCGAATTCAAACTTGGCAATCTTACTAATTTAAAGGCGCTCTTTCTAGCGGAGTTGATGGATTTTTCCTAACTGGTCCTTGTCAAAAGTTGAAAATACCGTGGAAGAGTTTATTTGCGTAAACCTTAATTCGAATCAAGCCGTTAGCTTAAAAAATGTTTTTCGTGGCCAAGATCCGAGTGTGGTGCCAGAGTACGTCATCAATCGAGAGCAAAACAATTTCTTGCATATCGCCTACTGGCTGTTTTTTCCGTACAATCGCGGAAAGCAGGGCCTGCATTGGGCTTTTTCTGTGGGGTCGTTGCTTTGGGAGATATTCAACATTTGGACACCAGGTTGGAGACTGAGAGAAAGTGATAGTTCGTTTTCGAAAAATCAACACCAACTACAAGATCTACTCCATCTATCTGTCCACTCACAACCAAGGATTAACAAATATGTAGGTTGGTGAGTTCCTTTGGCAAAGTGGTATGTTCAAGAAGGGGAGTAGAACGCTGGGTATCAGTATGGCCGTACTCATGCATAGTCTACTTTGCCTAGGGTTCACATGGGTTTTGACCGAATCCTAGAAAACACAAGTACAAGAAAATTTGGGCAGTGGCTGGAGAATGAATGCAGCAGTGGTACAAGCTGGCACGCGTGGAGTAAATTGAAGGCCGTTCGGTACGATCCTAATGGCCGATACAACGGCGAGTTTAAGTTCATGGGGTTCAAAGGCCATTGGGGAAACAGAAAGAGAGGATGCGGCATCATTGAAAAAATCCTAAAGACATGTATGCTTGACGACGGTCCAGGAGGTCCTTCCCGCTTCCCTAACTTTGGATAAAAAGATTGGGGCTGTCAAAGTGGTTGCCATGGTTACTATTACAAGTAACAGTTTAAAGAATAGATGAAGTGCAAACTAGGATCGTTCTGGAACAATAAAAATTTTACTAAAAAAATTGACCTTTGAGTTTGAAGATTACTGGGAACTGTTAAGGGCTACAATTCGCTATTTTTTGTCTGAAATTTAGTATGAACAAGCGAGAGCCTCTCATTATTCAGGGGTATTGTCTCCAAGTTTCATTTTCAGTTGGTCACGCTTTCCTGCCCCTGGGGAGGAATGTGTGACGTTGCCTGTGTCCAGATACTAACCATCAAGCATTGCGCGCGCTGCATGTTTGACCTCCTCGTGAATCGATGATATACAACTTGTCCTCAAGTAGAGCTCCACCGACGTTTTTTGAGAACTTAAACGTGGAAATTGCTTTTTTTTGGTTGCTTGGGTTCGCTGCGGATGCACCATTCGCGATCTGGCTTGAGTTGACTGGTGATAGTCTTTTGAACAGTATCCCTAGATCACTGGACAAAAGCTTGACCCCTCAAGAAGCTGGGTTTCGCTCGCTGGCCGTTCAACTGGAGAGTGCTAAAGCTCTCTTCTACTGGGAGTTCTGCAAAATTTAAAGCGAACACATCGCTTTTAAATTGAATTGTTTATTGTACATGTCATAGATTACTGGAAAAAGACAATGCTGGAGCCGTACGATTCTGATTATTTGTGGGTTGTTGTGGTCGGTTTCGTTGTCGCTTTCATCTTAGCTTTTGGTATTGGAGCGAACGATGTAGCAAATTCGTTTGGGACCTCTGTTGGAGCCAAAGTATTAACTCTACGACAGGCTTGTGTGATAGCCACCATTTTTGAGCTTGCTGGAGCTATTCTTATTGGGGCAAGAGTTTCAGGTATGCGATAAGGGCTCCGCGATAAGCAATACTATATTCTGTGCTCAAGCTTTATATAAGCAAAATACCACGGTAGTTCAGCGCTTTGCCCCATGACAGAATAAATTCATGTTGTATTTCATATCTGGTTGCGATTAAAGGGTGGTATTTTCACTGGAAGAGCGCGGATTAATATCTTTTTCACTGGCCGCATTCCACGTGCGCGGATCGCTGGTTTTTAGGCGGTTCAATGGCGAATGTGACTATGACCTTGAAAATTAGAACTTTTTTCATCAAAACTGTTCAGCCTATTATGTGCGATAAGCGCCAATTTTTGACAATTATCGAGAACCTAAATAAACATTGCTGTCAAGGAATGTGCATAAAAGGCGGATAACTGATGCTCGCTTTACGGTTGGATTCCTTCGCAATTTTTTCGGTCTGTTTCGGCCCTTTAAAGATAAAAATACCTCCAGGAGTCCTGCATGGTCATTGCTTTTTGAAGTTTGTTAATTGATTAATATTGATTTTCTTGCAAAGAACATTTTTTAGTGTACCAATGTAAAAATACTTGTTCATATCTTGTACAAGAAGTTTATCATCAAAAACCCTTTTGTTTTTACTCCAATTTGAACCTAATTGTTTTGTGTCAAAGGATTAATATAACGGTGAACATGCATAAATCTGCAATTAAATAAAGCATGTTCAATAATTGTTGTGATTGTTTGAACTATTAATTCTTCTGTTGTCTTCAATTTTTTCAAATTTGATTTTACAGATACAGTTCGAAAGGGTATCATAGACATTAGTTCCTTTAATGGTACGGAACAGCTTGCTATGATTGGTTCTCTCAGTGCTTTAAGTGGAACAGGAATATGGCTAATAGTCGCCACCTTCTTTAATCTTCCTGTTTCTGGGACACATAGTGTTGTGGGAGCAACGATGGGTTATGCATTAGTGGCACATGGAATAAAAGGGATTCAATGGAAAACTTTTGGAATGATTGGTGAGGTTATTTTTAATAGCTAGGGTATATATAAACATGATCACCTAAATTCATTACACCTTATATTTGTTGGCCATCAATGCAGACTGAAGCTGAGAAACTATTATAAGCTGGTGTCCTCATAAATAAAAGTTCACCAAAAATTTTATGCTTATTGTCAAAAATGAGGTTGACTTGAAAACATCAAACAGCCCAGTCAAATATGAGATACTTATAAAACAATGCCTGCACTTAAACCTGAGCAAAAATGGTAATTATATCACTGAACAAAGTTTTATACGGGGAAGCTCTGCCCAAAAGTTCAGCCCCTTAACCTCTTATATATTACCGTGTTGGACAGGAAAGGTACCTCTTATGTAGACCATTTATTAACGAATGGTACCCCTTTCACAAACTAGTTAAGAACACAGCATCCCTTCTAAATGCTGTAAAGGCACTGTGTTTTAACTATGAATAAACCACACTAACCAGGGAAGTTTTCTTGTCTTTTTCACAGCCATAAAATGCGTCTGTTAGCTCTTTTAGGTCCTTTCACAGACCACACTGACAGATTCCCCTACCCTCTCTTATACTTCACCTTGTGAAATCCCTACCCTTTCATATACTTAAAGCCTGAAAAAGGCACCCCTTTGGGTGGAGCCTCCCCATCTAGGCCATTATTATCCCCCCCACCCCCGGCTCCCTGGGGTTATTGTTTGAAGGAATACAGGAAATGGTTATTACACATAAAAATGTTGGAAACTGGGAAACTGCCCACCTACCCCTCCCCTAGGCCAACATTTTGCCCAAAGTGAGAAGTAAGTGTTTTTGTTGGCTTAGGGGAGGGGTATGTGAGCAGTTTCCCAGAAACGTATAATGATTCAAAATGTCAGCATTTGCTTGTGTACATTACGTAACAGTCTAAATGATGCACAGACAACAAGAAAATATGTGTGAATGTAATGTTACAGCTTCATTTCTTTTTTGTTATAGCTGCATCATGGGTTATCTCTCCTCTCATGTCAGGAATTGTAAGCTCTGTCCTGTTTGTAATCATTCGTCGCTTCATTTTGTCAAAGGTGGGTTTCCGCCAGCATGGCGTTAAAACTTAAAACAGTTTGCCAAACTTCTTCAAATTTCAATTCATGCTCATCCTTGCCATCTGTAGTAACAGACGACAGAAAACAGTTTTCATGACTAAATATGGTTTTAAATAACAAAACTGGACCACTATTTTTAGAATTAAATAATGTGAAGACACATAGCTTTCCAATACAATAGCACTGCTGCAAATAGCATGATAAAGCCCCTTTAATGACTTCACCTTAGATTTAATCTTTAAAACAAATTTCTAGCGTTTGTTGGCCTAATACTGAGTTGAAATGAGTTAGATGTCCAAAATTTAGCAGAACTTGTGCCCATAAAATGTGCCTTTAATTCTTATTCTTTTCTGTTTTTCAGATGATGTCATTTGAAATTGCTTTAAAGTCGCTTCCAATCTTCTATGCTTTCACAATCGCTATCAACTTTTTCTCTGTGTTTTACAAAGGATCTCACGGTATGTTTTCATGTAACCTGCATAACAGGCGTTTTTGGCGTTCTTCGGGCGTGTGAAGGTAATCGTGACGCGAACGAGGAGCGCCGGACACCCGTGAAAAACGCTCGCCTGAAAAACGCGAAGGAAAAACGCCTGTTATGCGGACTATGTTTTATGCCTCTTCAATTTACTCTCTAGCCTTCCTAGGTCTCGGTTGCTATCGCCGCTCGTTCACGCCCTTTTGCGCAGCTTTTTTCCCCTCTCGCCAAACAAACCCTTAGCTATGCAGGCTACTTTCTCCTGTAGTTAAAGCTAGTGTGGATAGTTTTTTTATGAACCCATTATTTTTTATTTAAAGGGATTTCAGAAAGTGATTGGTTAATTGAAAGTTGATTACTAAATTATAATTTAATATAGTCGAACCTGCATGTGCGACAACTTCTTATCAGTGATACGTTGGCTCCAGAGGTCCATTCTCGAAATACCCAAGATGAAATGTTAAAGCTGTGCTCACGGTTTGAGAAAGCTCTCGAGGAATTAGATATAGGAGCCTTCCTTTTGGAATCGCCCGATCAGGTGTCATAAGCGAACGCGACTATACTTATAGGGGTCTCGGCTACATTATTTTCCATTTTTTTGCCTCTTGTAAGCGATCTCTCGGCGCATGGTCTGTTTTCTATGTTTCCGTTACAGAATAGACGAAGAACTATTAGTGAAAACATGTAACTTACTCGTCGTAAACTAGAAATCGCATGCAACAAAATCTCTTCCAAAAAGTAGATTATCTTGTTATACCCGCTGTGGTTCGATTCTCGTAACTGACCACTTAATCTTCATAGCTTTTCTGATTGGCGCTTACAGGTATTTCGACTGCATGTATTAGGCGTAGCTGTCGGCTTGCTTGGCCCTCTCATTTGGGCGCTCGACAAACAAAACGCAGGCTAGTAGTAGGGACTTTTCCTAATTTGACTTTAGCAAGAAAAGACTTTTTTTTTAGTACTTTTTAATGCGGAGCTTTGCGACGGCGACTGCAACGAGAAAGACAAAAAAGCAATTGGTTTGTTAACCAAAACAACAATTTTGCACGTGCATCACGCTTTTTTTGTACATTTCGTTGCCGTCACTGCACGACTACGACGTGAAAATGCCTGATTTTCCGCTTCATGGAGGATGTAAACAAGCGACGACGAATTTTTCTTTCTCTTTCTAAACTTGTGTGCGGTCCCCAAGAAATCACTTCTCAACTCGCCTACATTCGACATTTTCAGCGAACTGGAATAAACGCGACCAAGTTTCGGAACAAATGGTAATTCATTATAAAAGTGACGTTTTTACTGCAGTAGCCGTTGATACAAAACTAAACGTTTCTACCCTTTTTGCTCTTTCAGTGTTGCGTTTTGACCGGATCCCTCTGTATGGTGTACTTATCCTGTCAATTGGAGGAGGCCTTTTAGCCGCATTAATCGTTCACTTCTTCGTTAGCCCATACTTGAAGAAGAAAATTGTCAGAGAAGTATATGGAGATGAGGGCAACGGCACCGCTTCGTCGCGTCAAGACAGGACTGTTTCCTTCACCAAGGGAGGAAATGGCTCCGAAAATGGGGTAACTTCAGATGAAAAGAACCCCAGTGGTAGGTAACTTATTCGCCACCGTAATTTTGGCCGAAAACCGCCGTTTGAAGCTAGTAGAACCTATTCTAGTCACTCTCTCGCCGAAAACAACCAAAACCGCCTGAGACGTAGTTCTTAATGGAGAATTACACTTTCGCTGCTGATGCCACATTACGGCTTCCGAAGTTCGGGCATGCGCATGTGGCAAAAGTTTCCCACAATTCCTTCACACAATCCCTACCTCTCTCAATACAGCGGACACTTTGCTCTGTCCCTTTGGTGAGTGTCTCTATTCTCTAAAACTGTCCTCTATCATTTCCTATGTTCCCAATAAAGAGAATTTGTTTAGCGATCAAGACCTTTTTCATTTAGTAGTTATGTCCTTATTCGCGTGATCGCTTTTTTTGTTTAAGTGATTATTTTAAGAGGGAAATTAGCTGATAGTTACTCTATGAGGTTTGAATGTTCTGTTTTCTCTGTTTTCTACGTTAACAATAGTTTGGTCCCGTTAGCTTAGTTTCTGTATTAATCCTTTGAGTCCCAACAGTGACCAACAACAATTTTCTCCTAACGATATCCATACATTGTCAAGAGATACAGTTATGAGAATTAACAAATGATCACCAAAGAGAAAATGCCTTGATCTTTTATTAAATTCTCTCGACTTTTCTTAAAGGAAATGTATGGAGATCAGTTTGAAGAATTTGTATTTTGATATTGGGACTTAAAGGGTTAAGCGGGTTCCACTGTGTTTGTTTAAACCCCAGATTCCAAAGAAACAAATGAGCCCGATGATGAATCCAACCAAGAGGAACATGATGAAGTCACGTTAACCGTTCGGTCAGACGAGTCGGCACCTGTTCCCCCATTTCCAGAGCCAACACTGCGTCGCTCCTCATCCTCGTCTCCCAGTGACTCTAAAGTGTTGATAGAAAGCAGTGAACAGAATAGCACAGGACCGAGCCAGGCACAGATAGAACGGGCCAGGTCACGAGGAATGTCGTTACTAATGGAGGCGAGGAAGCAAGTCACAGACGAACCCAAGACCGGTAAACTTTTTGCGTTCTTGCAGATTTTGACGGCTGCCTTTGGAGCCTTTGCACATGGTGGAAATGACGTCAGGTAATAATGTGTTGATTTTGAAAGATCTCTTTCTGTGGATGAAATCGCGTTGTGTGACAATACAAACGAGAAACCCTCTCAACATTGTTTTTGCCTTAGTTTTTACAGCGCTTTTTACGAACACGCGTTTTTCGCTGCCGTCAATCATAATTACGGTCACAAGCAACCATCCTTAAAACACAGAAACACACAAAACGGATCGAAATCACAGATCACTAACCATGATTTTTTGAACCCGCTTAAGCTAAGTTCTGTTTCCTAAGAGGTCCGCTAACATGACTGACGGCAGCGAACAACGTGCGTAAACGTCAGTGGGATTTTGAATTTCAGAGTTCGCGTGTGCTTGAAAAGCGCAGTAAGTTTATCTCTGGATAGTTTTCTCTAAAACTGAACGTCATTAAACCCGTCATGGCCAATAGATGGGTGTGGGCGTGGAGAAGATGCCTGGTTAAACGGAGGGAACGGTAAGTGAGCGCGGAAGGTAATGAAGTCACCAGGTACCATCACCGCCCTGAGAGCCTGAGTGGAGAGTTTCACAGGTACTTACCATAGGACACCCAAAGGGGAAGGGAGGGTTGGGAGCTAAAAAATGGCTCAAGAGACTACACGTGATGGCCACGTGAGCGAAATGATTCATGACCACAGCAAAAGCGCTGTAAAATTACTAGAGCCCTGCAAATACCCAAAGACCGGCCCAGATACGATTAGTGATGGAGACCGCTGGCTAGCGTTATCTCGTGTTAAACCGCGCGTAAATTACATTTAGCCACATTAAGTATCAATCTAGCCTGTGTACAGACGCCCTCTCTCCTCAAAAAAATCTTGTAGAGTCTCTTTCCCCGATTTTTTTTCCTATCGTGGGAGGGGACGTCTGTACACAGGCTAGTATCAATCCTCTAACTGAAGGTCATTTTATTTTTTTTCTTTATTCAGCAATGCCATTGGACCATTGATCTCGTTATGGGTTATCTTCTCATCTGGCATAATTCAGGATAAGGTTTTGATCCCATTCTGGATTTTGGTCTACGGAGGTCTTGGGATTTGTATCGGTCTGTTTGTGTGGGGACGTCGCGTCATCAAAACTGTAGGAGAGGATCTTACTCCAATTACTCCATCAAGGTATAGTGCAGTGCATTTTAACCTTAATTTTCTGGCACCTTTCGTCAAAGAAACAAAAAGTCGCTCAAGACCCTGATGGGGTGGGAGGTAGCAGGAAAGGTGCAGTGTTGGAAGCACTCGCCTCTTACAAATGTGGTCCGGGGGGACCACGTGGTCCCACCTGGGAGGAGGGTCTCCAGACTCTAACTAAGTTTAAGTAGTTGTCATCTTTCGTAGTCACGCCTAAACATTATAGCTCACCCATTAAAGCGAAAATTCGATCGTAGAACGCCGATTTCTCTAAGTCATGACAACACAGAGTACTGTTTTATAAGTATTAAGGCGTTAGAGCAACGAACAAATGCTAATATCACTCGTTAAGATGCGAAGGTTTACCCTTGGAAAAGTCAAAAGTGAATTGTTGTGACCGACTGAGATCACCACCTTGACTTCTTCAATTTCCCTGACACTTTTAGAAGTTCCACTGTGAAAAAATTTATACTTCCATAATCATTAGTAGCTCAAAACAGTATCGTCAAAATGTATTACCTTAAAACGCTTGAAAATATCCCATACGCTGAGCTAAGCCTCTGCCAATGTTCGAGTTGACAACCACAGAAGAGAGAGGGAGAGCATAGGCCGGCATTAGCCGAATAAAGAAGACAAGACCTTGACTCATCTTAAGAATAAGAATACATTATATGAACGATGCATCGTTTTCGTTATTTTTCCGCACATTGGTAATCGGGGTGCGTGTTTTGATCCTCTTTGCAGGGTCCGAAATTGCGCCTTCCTGGTCGCCAATGCGACTAAAAATTTAGTCCTGGCGACCAGAATTTCATAGCTGGTCGCCAGCTAGCGACTTGTAAAGCAGGTTGTTACTGTGGACTTTAACGTTCGGAGAAACTGATTAAGAATTGAAACCTCGAAGCTATTTGCCAACAGGAGTCTTACTTTTGTCCTGCTGATATTTTTTAATTAAAAGTGGAAAGATTCTTCCCGTAATAATACCTCCACAACAGCTACGATCAATACGAGTTGTACGTTTCCAAGCCGTCATGTTGTTTTCAGCTGAAATACGGTAAGTACGTTGTGTACTTTGCGGACTGGTACGAGTGATGTGGCACAGTTGTGGCCTGGTACGAGCAACATGGCGGCTTGACTCGTGTTTACGTTTTGTGTTTCGTGTTAGTTATCGGAAAAAAAATAGAGTTTTGATATGATCAGAGCAGTCATGGGCAGACAGCTTTCTGTTCTTACGTTCTAAGTCAGACAGCTTTATATCTCCAAAAAGTAATTTGTGGAAAAAAAAAGACTTCACTCGTACACGTACGGTTGTTTTCAGGTATCGGAAGTAGTGCAATTTTCGAGCATAAAAACGTCCATACCATGCATTTTTTATTCGTGTTTAAACTATTATTGAAAAAAAAGGGAGGGGAAATTTTTGGCGACCACAATTTGCCCTCTGGCGACCAAAAATTTATACTTGATCGCCAGTTGGCGCCCGTATTAAAAAGTTAATTTCGGACACTGCTTTGGCGGGAGAAATACGTCCTTTTCGCCGTCTGCGTTTTTCATGTTTGTCTATTCTACTACAGGTAAATTAAAATACCCTGTCACTTTTTTCAGAGAACTAAATGAATTGCTGAAATCGCCTGACATTATTTAAATACGCAGCTCTTTTGTGAATATCTTAGAGTAGTGAAAGATGCGATACTCTGCCTGGAAGAAAATGTATTGTGATTAAATTGTTTAATTATAGTCCTTTATTTAAATTTCATTTTCCTGAATTTCAAACATTTTATCATGGATTGTCATTCCTAAAGGAAAAATTAAATTTAAAGTAAGGATAAAATTGAATCACAGCAATAATACTAACATTTTACCATAGGTTCATTATTATCATCATCATAAGCATGTAATATTAATACCCGTCAGTGATCAGAGTGTTTTCTTTGATTATCATATATCGTTTACCGTCTTCTTGCCGAAACGATACAGGTTTAGTCAAGATTCGGCATGCCTCACTGGTTTCCCCTTATTACAATACGACTAGATAAAAATATTTCTTAAGAACGATAGATATATCGCAGCTTTCATAAATATGATCATTTATTTACCTTTTCCTTAGCATTCACCAAATAATTAATAAAGCTAGAAAGCTGGCGAAGCAAGAACTTGAAACGAATAATCAAAATTATTGACGAATAATCAAAAATTATTTTAAATGAGAAAAACCAGCTGGACACGGACAGGCGTGGCCGGGGAAATATAATTACGAGTCAAAAGGTATCAAATTCGGTTGTTGACCTAATAATGCAGCTTCTTGTCCTCAGCAGCGGGTAAAATGAGTACAGAAAGATACATCGAAAGGGATAAAGTCAACAATCGATTTTGTTAAATTAATGTTTGCCAAATATTGCATGTATTTGCAAAAGGTAAATATGTTGGTTATCGAATAACCTTGCTGTCGTAAAATTATTAAAAGGAAGCATTTTACTTAATAAGTAAAAGTTATAGCTATAGCGCGCAGCGCCATTAATCATTCGCTTCAAATTTCGAAGGTCTGATAAGTTAGATTCATTAAGTTCTTAGAAGACAAACATTTTTGATTAGAAACGGCAAAGTAGTTCTTGAATAAAATCTTCCGTTTCAATAGGGGATGACGCTTAGTGTCTTTCCGAACAGCATGGCTATAAAGTGGGGGAAATTCCCTTCATCAAAATTTACTCGGTAATTTCATATCCATCGATTCTGATTTTCGATGCAATATGGTGATTCAAAGTTTTGTCAGCATATTAGAGTTGCTTATAATTTACTTAATTGGCTCGACGTAGGGGGAATCAAAATTGTCTAACGCGTCAAGCAATTGCTGCGTTATATATGGTAGGTTAACTTGTGTTACAACTTACTAAAATTAAGAAATGCCTTATGCTTATTGCACGTGCGATTTAATTATTATTAAACAAATATAATGTGATTTTGATATTGGTTGCAGCAGTGTATCAACAAATTTTGTCAAACACAGAACAAGGTTTTATTGGATTATTAAGAGGAAACCAAACATCCATGTTGTAACTAGGGGGTGGGTCATGCAATTTCCAACCTTGTTTTAGGGGTGGGTCAGCCATTTTTGTGCCGAAGGGAGGGGGTGGGCCATGTCTTTTATCAACCATATTTCCAAATGCTCCGGCCCACCCCCTATACTTTTTGACCAGTCCCTAAATGAAATTTCTTAAATTAAAATTTAAACAGTATTCCCTAGATTAAAAAAGGAAAAGAAAATGTATGCAATGTTCAAAAGAACCTTTGTGTTTGTTTGGTTTTTCTTCTATAGACCTATTCGGCTAACTCAATGTTGTACCCAATTCAAACCCTTTGGGAATAAAACTTTTTGTTTCAGGAATTTCCATACATTTAAATGAGAATGCCACATTATGATGCAAATACAATACACAAAGAATCTTAACCCCGGGAGATTTGAATTGGGTACAACATGGAGTTAGCCGAATAGGTGTATTATGGGTTATGTGAAAGAACCTAAACTCATAAAGATGCCCAAAGGCATACTAAGGCACCCATGTAATTAAGAGTACTACACCAGCGCTGTATATATTCTGTGAATGTTCATTAAACGTGAGCGAATTCTAATCTATTTCTACGCCGATAGCTTTGACAATGCCACTTACTTCAATTACCGTAAATAAAATCTTTCCGGTGCGCTATCTCCGACGTCCGCTTCGATGATCCCCTCGAAAGGATCCTTGTTTTGTAATGCGGCGTTACCGTTCGTTTGTGAGCAATTAAAGGAAGATGAACCTCGATTGATACGTACCCGTACTCTTAATATTATAATATTAGAATAGGGGAGCTTAGCAGAATGAGGGCGCTTATTGGTATAGTGTTAAAACATGTTAATAAATTAAACATTGTAAAGAGGGCACGTCTGTTGTCTTCTCATCCATGACTCCTTCCTTCCTTATTGGAATGGGAGTGCTTAAGGGAAAACTGGGGCTCTAATTAACAAAAACATATTCGAAGGGGGCGCTTATTCGAAAGGGGCCCAGCGACGAGGGGGCTCCAAAAGTTTCCCGGTCTGAATGCGGTTTAAGAATTATGCTAACAGAACCATACTATACTACTATATAATATTATTATTCAACTTTCATACACTGTACGAATTCCGATTTTCTGATTGGTTGATATGTACCACGTGATACTGGGTTGTGACGAAACAACCACCTCTACGTCATTATCGTGGTGTAATAGCGGTGGAGTAAATTCAACACACCACTGTCATTACACCATGGCCTCGGCTGACTCAAAGTTTGACGATTTGTCAGATGCAGACATTGATTTTCTTATTGATGATGCAATTCCTAAAAAACACCAAGAAAGCAACTGCTTGGGGAATATATGTTTTGAAAGGTACGGTTGCGAATTTTAAATTTTTCATTCAAGCTGCGGTATTGAAATTTCTCGTTCATTGTTAATGAACTCGTGCAGGTAAATCCCGATAAATCACTCCCTGAGTGCGTTAAAACCTTATCGACTGTTAAATTTATAATCCAAGACTTTAACGTCGGCTTTTCCTTGAATGACGTTAGTCAAAGGTATCTCACAGCACCATACTCTTTACTTAAACTACTGTAAAGTTCATATAGTGGTGAAGGTAATGGTAAGTGTCTATTTGAATTCCTTTAACGAAAAGGGTATAAACAACAGCAGTGTCAGCAGCAAAAAGCGAAACAACAGCAACAGCACAACAAACTGATATACAGATTTAACGCAACCTCGTCCCTAGGGCGCTTTTCCATCGGTGTCTTTAACGAGCGACAGGAAAGCAGTCGATATCAACATATTTCGTCCACATTTATGACAAAGATTAAAGGGACACAGTCAGCTATGGGAACGCGCTGATCTGGACACTAGTTTTGCCAGTTTGAAGGCGTTTACCTCAACCCGAAATCAAATGTACGCGTCGGACACATCTAGAAATCCGCTTCAATCTTGCCTAGTGTTTTATTCGATCCTCGTTCTTTTATTGAAGATCTATTGATCACCAAACTTTTACTCACTCTTTGACATTATTTTGTCATATTTGACTTAAACCAGGATCCAAACGAACATGAAAAGAAGAGGTGAGAAACACGTAGGCACCGGGAGGGAGAAATCGCCTTCGATTACGAATATAACAAGAGGATGAATCAATAACATTGCAGAGCAAATAATCGTTATATATATTTGGAAAGTCAACGGACAAAGGTTACATATATTTAGAAAATGGAGCTTTCTCGACCTTGAACCTTCGACAAAGATTCCAACTTCGTGTCATTTCTCACGTCTATTTATAAAGTACTGATTCTTCGAATTCGAAAGCATTCGTCGATGTCTGGCTTTCCCTGGACAAATCCATCGGTAAATTCACAATAGTATATAAAAAAATGAGTGCTCCGATATGGCTTAGGGTCTATAATTACGACTTTAGCTTGTAATCATTTCAACCCCACAAGGTTCGTTTAGAGTATTCCGGATGCACTTCTCACTTTCTGTTTCAAGCGCGTGTCTTATGATATGCAAATCAACTAAGAAATGGTATCTAATGCGCATGTACACCAGCTAACTGTGTCCCTTTAAGTCACCAACGTGTGTATTACGCACTACATCTCACATCTGGATGGACATTTGACAACAACATCACCATGCCTTGAGATCAGAAAATCAGACCACATGAGGACATTTCCAATTCCCATATTACAGCCTTGCGACATGCGAACTATTTCTGCCCGAGACAACACATAACTCCATACATGAAGGCCACTGAGTGTTCCATGAAAGCTCTGTATCTGTTGGAAACTGTTAGGATCTGCCATTTTGTCTTGATCTTGACCAATTACCAAGTACCCTCGACCAGGAATAACATATCCGGGTTTAAGGCCGGTACCGTTATTGGCCACTACGCCGTCTACTGTCATACTCCATTCTCCATTCTCATTTCCCCAAGCTACGCAGATATGGTGTCTTACTCCGTCGTAATATTTTCCCAGACCAATGCTCCTTCATAAAATAGATGGATAACAAATGAATAAACTGAATCATAATTTAGACATAACTTGTCGCGTTAAGACGCTGATTGATGTCCGTTATAGCGAGAGTTTAAACACTAAAACAGTGCTGTTGGGGCCGAGAAAGGTGTCCGTAAGTCCTTAATTTAGGAACCGGTCATTATTTATCACCTAGGGGGAGAGGGGGAGGGGACGGTTAATTTGGGGGCTATCACTTGATTTTTAGGAGAACAGAAGGGGGGATCAAAACTGAGAACCCAAAAGGGTGGATCACTGAAATCTTTGGAAGGATTCAGAGGGGGGACCACTCAAATTTGCTTGGAAAATGGAGACATGGGACGGGGGAATCGCGAAAGTCATCAACTGTTATTAGGGGGGATCACTTCAGCGAAGTAACATTCAAAGGGGGGATCGGCTAAATTTCACCTTGTTTAGCCCCAAGCCTCCCCCCCCCGGCGATAAATAATGGCCGGTCCCTTAAGCGAGAGTCCATAACAGCAGGACTCTTGGTTTTAGTCAAATATCTGTAATTTTCACCGGGGATTCAGAGGCTGTCCGCACGTATTATAGGGGTATCCGTGATAACCAGGAATCCAGGCGAGAGTTGATTGTATACTAAGCAAAAAGAAACCTGCAGTTAATTTGGCTGCCAGTGCCGACGTTGTGAGTGGTTCCCAACCCTTCCAGCATATCCTTTCATTTCGTTGCTCGAGGAATTAAGATTAGAAAATGTTGAACATGCTTTGCATGTTGACACGATACCGTTCGAAACTAGTCTTTAGTAGCCGTGCGCTTATTACAGCAGGTTCAGTTATGGCCACCTGTTTATTAACAAACGGATGCTCGTACTCAAAAAACCAGTTTCACATGAGAAAACAAGATTGAAGCGACCAAAAGTTCGGTCTCATTGCTGCGATACCAAAGCTTGACGCGATTTCTGCCGAGCCGCCTTTTTTCCTCCTCGTTCAAGAAGAAGTCAAAAAGAGAATCCGTTCGCAGGGTGGATTCTTACTTAAATTCTCTGCATGTGATATAGGATTCAATGGCGCCGAAAACAACTTTGGAAATGCATACATTTCAAGTATCCTGTGACCACAGTTTACTGAGTCGTAGAGCATTTAGATGTTTATAGAAGGGACCTTTCAACCCCCGCCCCCTCACCCACCACCACTCACCCTGAGATTAGCCATAATTGATTGAGCTCTAATACCATCAAGTGGCCACAGGGACTGGCTACGATCTCGGACCAAGAAACTGAGGATCGTTTCATGCAGTGTTAAAAGAGAGTGCTGGCAGTATTGGCTCGATCCTTACCTCCACTCATCATGTATTCGCAGTTCCGTCTTAAAGATCGTTATTTCATTATGTACTCCTGGAATAGCATAGCTAAACGTCACGCCTTCATTGGTGTCTTCAGTCTGCATCCAAAAGCAAATTGTAAACTTTGACAATTCCATTGGCCAGGTCTGGTTGACGTAATTTCTGGTGCTCTTGGTAGGAAAATTAAGGTCGTAATCCGAGATTTCACCTAAAAGCAAAAGAATGAAAAAGAATAAAATGAAACGATTTCTTTACGTAAAGGACTATATGCTTTCCAGTACTAGTTTGGAAAGAATTGGATGGGAAAAGAAAATACAACAGGATAACTAGCCTGTTGAATAATCCTTGGCTGTCTATGTATATCGGAAACATTATTATTATTACTATTTTTATTATTACTATTATTATTATTATTAGTAGTAGTATTAGTATTAGTATTACTATTATTGCTATTATTATTATTATTAGTAATATTCTATTATGGTCAGGGTTGTTTATATAGAAATCATTAATGTCATGGTGGCAACAAGAATGCAAAATTTAACAACAATTAAACAATTAGTTGTAACTGATCAACAAATTGGAGTTCTCACCATCTCTCCCGGTGCAGTCGTTCATCTGGAAAAAAAGGGAACATGAACAATAAATAAATAAATAAAGATAAGACGCAATGGATTAATTTCTTTCCACTTCAAATTTTGTAAGATCATGGTTGACTACGATTGACGATGGTTCGGTTAACGACGAGCCTACTGTAACTTTGGTTACTCGAGACACTTAGATAATTGCTCGTTTTTTCAAGAGACAGTGTATTAGTTTTTGAAGGGAATTTTCCTTTTGTATGGTCGTAACTTTAAGCATTCATATCTGACATGGGAAAGCAAAAAGTAAAGCTACAAAAAAGGTTCCAGTTAGCAGGAGAAAGCAAATAACCGCAAATTCGAAAATAGGATGAGAAATGAATGCAAGTAATATCATAAAAAAATGCACACTTCAAAACTTGATAAATACACGTTGCTGGACACTGTATTTAAACTAAACTGAAGAAGTAAAGTCAAAGTTGTTAAAGTAGCTCTAATGTTTTGGACTGCAGTACACTTTTTTTCTACTCGGTCTACGCTTAAAGCATGGTTGTTCGAGTTAAATCGAGAGCATATTCATATATAGAAATGATGGCTGTAAGAAAATTAAATTTTCTTCGAGTTGGCAGAAGGTTCGAGTTACCGAGGGTAAACTTATAGTAAATGTATGAAGGAAATCCAGCTGAAATCGATTTTGGTTCCAGTTAGTGAGGGTTCGAGTTATCATATCTGGAGTCGACTGTACTATTTAGAAGTAGAAGGATCTGGCTTGATATCAGGGAACTTAAGCAAAGTCGTTTTTGACCGACGAAGGTCAACCGGAAGTAGATTTTTTACATTCCTGAGCAGTGGTTTTGCGCAAATTTTCAGTTAAATCGTCTCTAAAAGTGTAAAGAAACTAAGTAATACAAATTTTATATCGTCAAGGCATAGTGAAAAGAAAAAAATCCTCACTTCCGGTTGACGTGCATCTCTCCAAAACGACTTTGCTTATTAAGCTAACTATTGAAATTCTATCAATTTAGGTTTCTGGGAAACTGACCACCTACCCCTCCCCTAAGCCAACATTTCGCCCTAAGTGAGAAGTAAGTGATAATGTTGGCTTAGGGGAGTGGTAGGTGGGCAGTTTCCCACAAACCTAAATTGATCCGAAATTCTCTTTGCTTCCCTTGGGCCGACTTATTGCTCTGACTGATGTAACTTACCATGACAACGTCATAATAAATGACGCCGGGCACAACAGTTAAACATCCTGGACACGAGACTTTGCTGGCATCATTCAACTGGCACTCGTTGTGGTTGTTGCTGATTGGTTTGTAGTTGTATGATAAACACCCTTTGTTTTGCAAACACATAATCCCACAGTCAAAGTCACGTGATACGTGATGAAAGGCAATCACATGACTTTGTAACGAGTATCCTTTGAATAAATAAGTAATAAAAGAGCTTCAATAAAAACAAGTGAAGTAAAGTTCAGTTGCAAGATATGATTAAAAAACTTAATAAAAGTTGCATGTATAGCACAAGCTAAAAAATAAATAATTCATAAATGTTTTTTCTTTTTTTTTTTTGACACTCGCAAATGTATGTATCAATTTGTTCCGAAGGTTTACTTCAGTCAAAATGAAAATTTGATAAAATTAAATAATAGAAATAATTATTCATGATAAAATGCTGAGACCGAATTGGTCTGCACTACAACTTTACATTTCTCGGTGACCTACGACCATACATTTTTTGACGTATGCAACTTAGCTATACGTTTAATGAGAAACTCATAAGGGGTTTCAACCCCTTATGAGTTTCTGGTTTAATTTAATGACGCAGTCGAACAACCCATAAGCTTTGGATGCATGACCAATTGAGAAGCAATCGCATATGAAGGCCTGAATAATTTATTTGTAGCGTTTATTCCAAGAAAAAATCTCTGTTCAAAAGGAAGAAAATCAGGTTTTTTATAGTGTTTTCATCGAGGTCGACAACCTTTAGTTGAAAGTCAAGTTAGTTTCCGTCACACATATATATTTTGCCTAAACCACATCCACGACTATTTGAGCAAACGAAACGTATGGTTTTAGTCTCTTAAGGCGGAGTCGGAATCGTAAGAGCGCTTATGACCTCGTGAAAATCTAAAATCGGAGTCGTAAGCGGAGTCATAAAGGCGACGCAATCCGCGTCGGGAAAATCAGAACGTTTCCATTTTCTTCCGACTCCGCTTAGGACTCCGTCGTTTACTATCTAATAACAGCCAGACTGTCAGAAGCGTATGCAAAGTTCTACGCTCCGATTACGACTCCGACTCTTACTCCGTCACCAGTGAAAACCAGCCTTTATAAGTACCTAAACAATTGATTTCTTACGTTTATACCAAAGCGTAAAATTCTGCTTGTGAGGGGAATAACGTTTTTAGCGGAGCTCCGCGCGTGAAGCGCGCTAGCGGAGCACCATTGGTAAATAAATCTTCCCATCCCAGAAAATCTGGTAATCACGTGACCGACCGACCGTCCGTCCGCACCACAGGCATACCAATGTTTACTCTCACACTTTCTAGCTACTTTGGGAGCCCAGGAGAAAGCTGATTGCACATCAATGTTGTCATCAATTGACAGCTGTCAAAACAGGGTACCCGCTGACCAGTATCACCTGACCGTATCGCGGGCTCAGGTCTCGACCCAACAAGGTCAAGTATTTTTTTGAACTTATCCGCTGACAATTTACTCGTTTTCAAATGATCCCAGGCTGACGTTTACTTTTTTTAAAATTCATATCAAATATGTTGTGTTTGTGTCAGTATCGCCCCGCACTATTGCGATTTTGATTTCAAACTGACCTTAGACGCAAAAATTCAGCCAGTTTTTTTTAAATACAGGTGGAGAAGAACTTTTCTTAGTATGGTCACGGGTTGGTCAGGCTCCACGTCCAATTTTTATGCTCTGATTGGTTAAAATTTGACAGGTGAGTTCATGCGTAAAATTTATGCAGCATCTTAAAAGTTGTTTACTTTGACAGCTGAAGCTGACAGAGTTTTGAGGCAACTTGTGATGTTTTTAACTGTCTTTTTCCACTGGTTTGTTTATTGGGTTTTTGGTTGTGAAATGCGTCGCTTGTCATAGCCGATAATCCGATTTCGGATGGCATCGTTTTTGTTTTTCACCTTGCTGGATGCGTACGAGAATTATAAAGGCTCAAGCGATCCTTGCCTTACTTGATAGCTTTCAGGAGCTGCATCTCGAAATATGGTAAGCCTGAGTAATTATTGTATTTATATCTAATTTCATGAAGTCCAGCGGCGCAGTTTATGAAGCTACAGTAGTTTATGCACGTTTGTATTAAGATTTCACTGAGACACTGATCTGACCTAGTATGAGGTTTAATTTGAAATAAGCGTTAGCTTACAGAACTTTAAAAAGCCTTTATTCGATATTAATTCACCGTAAATAGAAAGAAAAAACTTTCCGAAGAATATTTAGTTATAATTTTGGCTGTAGAAAGAAAGCTTTGAGCGATTTTCTTGTCGTGAGTTCATCTTTGAAAACAGCAAAAAACCGGGAAACCGGCGGCTTAAAACATAAACTTAATCTTTAAGCTTACTAGTTAAGACTTGAGGATTCTTAGAGACACTTAAACACTCATTTGTTTTCGGGAATGAACATTGTTGTCTCTGTAAATGTTCTACAGAATTATATTTCTTTATTGATTGTTGGTAGTCTCAAAAGTGTAATTTTGATCGCTTTGTCGTTTGTTTTCAGCCGTTCATGAACATCGCTTGCAGGAGCACTCAAAATGCCGAGCGTAAAAAACGCTTTTTAAGATTACACATCCTTATAAAACCACGTTGAAGCATAACTCTCTTAAAATTTCTTCGCAAATTTGGCGCTTGTCAAAAGCTAGAACCGGCTGCCCGTATAGGTGATTTTGGAAATTTTTTGAACGGTTTCGCTAATTAAGAGTCCACGCGTTCTTCGATGGTCCTGAATATTGAATGAATGCAATTTGTCTTGAAAAATTGTGAAATACTGCATTTTGTACGAGGTCTGTATGATAAAAACAGCGCCTCATAGTACTCTTTCTCCTCAGATGTGGTGTATAAAAAAAATAAAAGATTGGTTTGCACTCTCCCAGATTTATTGGCAAGAATTAGTAAACTTGTCGAACGCAAAGAATTCACCCTAATTTGTTTTCCACGCCTTATCTACTGTGATCAAGAGCCATTATTGCTCGTAAATGTGACCGAAGACTATTTTTGGGGTGTACATATAAGGCTATATCAACTCGATACAAGATTTGTTTTACTCCAAAGTCACTTAGCTCTTCCCTCAAAAGTCACGTGAATGTGCCCTTAAGTTAACTGATTTGTGGAATACAAAACTATTGTTTTATTTAAGTTAGAAATTTATCAATGGGAGCTTCGCTTTTAGCCGTGGCCAGGAGCCCATTGGCTCCTGCCGTGGCTAAATAACAATTATTCACCGAAGTGGAGGTGGCTAGTCGTGGATATTTTACTGAACTGCGAAGCAGTGAGGTAAATATCCACGACTAGCCACCGACACTGAGGCGAATAATTGTTTTAGTATATACTAAAACACTGAGATAATTGAGCACAAAAATGATGATTTTTAACTCAAATACTGTTGCCAACGATTACAATTTTGGCGCGTAATGACCGGGCGGCCGCGGCCGTCGCTTTTTCTTGCCGACAATTAAAACTTTTGCAGACATATGTTTAGCTCTTGCGGGGAAATTTCTTCAAAAAGAGGTGTGCATTCTTTTTGTATTTAAAATCATTCTATAACAAAAGATTATTAAATTTAGTTTTAAGCTTATTTATGAACAACTCAACTAAATAAAGTAACGCAAGACTTAAACTTAATTTGCATTTGTAAACAAAAAATTTTCCACCGGTTTTATCGATAAATTCGTGTCAAAAAGACAAAGCTTTACCTGTTAAAACTTCCAATCCGAACTTTGTCACCATCTTCGTGTATTTTGGAAACAGCTTGCTTGATTAGTTGTGAAATTTCTTTGTTTGTTTACGGCAGCAAACCGGGAAGGCATTTTGCTCGCAACTTACGCGAGTTTGGCGTCGCTCGCTCGGAGGAACTTGAGGTGAATCAGTGAATAGTGCAGGATATTCACTGATTGAGTAGCCAATCAGAGCGCGTGAAAAACACTATCCACTGTTTAAGTATATACTAAATCTATCTATATATTATGGTCTCATTACGGTCCACCACTTTCACTGGCAGTTAATTAGTTGCCTTAGGTGTAAGTGGTACCACAATAGATGTTTTATTCAAGTCATCGACAATTTTGGCAAAAAAATGTGAAAGCTTTTAATTTAAGCGCGAAACAGTACTCACAGCACGTTTTAAGACTTAAACCACTTTAGTATATACTAAAACAGTGGATTGTGTTTATCGCGCGCTCTGATTGGCTACTCAATCAGTGAATATCCTGCACTAGCCACCGAAACTGAGGTGAATAATTGTTTTAGTATATACTAAGACGGTGAGATAGTTGAGCACAAAAATGATGATTTTTAACTCATTTACTGCTGCCAACGATTACAATTTTGGGGCGCGATGACCGAACGACCGCGGTCGTCGCTTTTTCTTGCCGATAAATAAATCTTTTGAAGCCATTTGTTTAGCTCTTGCAGGGAAATTTCTTCAAAAGGAGTTGTGAATTCGTTTTGTATTTAAAATCATTCTGTAAAAAAGCTTATTAAATTTAGTTTTAAGCTTGCTTATGAAAAAGTCAACTTAATAAACTAATGCAAGACTTAAACTTAATTTGCATTTGTGAACAAAAACCTTTTTCACCTGTTTTATCGATAAATTCAAGTCAAAAAGACAAATCTTTACCTGTTAAAACTTCCCAACCGAACTTCGTCACCTTCTTCGTGTATTTCTGGAACAGCTTGCTTGATTAGTTGTGAAATTTCTTTGTTTGCTAGGGCAGCAAACCGGGAAGGCATTTTACTCGCAACTTATACGAGTTTGGCGTCGCTCGCGAGGAGGAACTGAAGGTGAATCAGTGAATAGTGGTGGCTATTTACCTCGCCGCTAACGCGGCCTCGATAAATCCACCACTAGCCACCTCCACTTCGGTGAATAATTGTTATATATTTGAGGTCGTTCTACAAAGTTAGAACATATCAAAATATGGTGTGGTCAGTGTTACCTTCATTTGCTTCAAAGTACGCCAAATTTTGTAATAATCGTCTCTTTATCATCGAACCAGCAACCATAGAGGGCATGAGGATAACTGCATTCCACTGAAATGTAGTGAAAATCAGATTCCATAACTTCATTTTATCGCAATCGTTTGGGATAAGAAATGTCTGTTTTCAGTAGCTGTTCGTTTATCCCTCTCGTGCATTTTAAGACAAGTTTAGAGATGTCAGTTACTATGGTCACGAGATGTGACGTCATAAGTAGCAGGTGGTCAAGCCATTTTTGAGTGAAAATGCATGTTTTTTTCAAATTCTTTCAACAATAAAAGAAAAACTTGTGGATGAAGTGATTCAAAGTTCTTATTTATGTTGTTTTACATATCAAGCACAAAAAACACCGGTTTTAATCTGAATTCTTGGTGGCGACCATTGTTGTTGACGTCACAGGGCTCCAGCAGCGCCACCACCCATAAAATATACCTCACTGAGAAAGATCAAAGCCTTTCCACTGAAGGCAAAAGTGTTTCGAAATACCGCAACATATCAAAAAACTCTGGGGAGAGGTTCCATCAACACTCACCCCCCTGGTATTACGGTGGGGGTATAAATTTGCGTGCACTTCTGAGGTTAAATAATTATAGGTTGAGCATGATCCTGGGGTCAAACCTTTCACCTGCAGTTAATATTAATTTATAAAGAAATTAACATTTTCTTGACTCTTGGACAAAATTTCCACTAGATAACAGTCAAGCGCCAAAAGCTCTAAAATTTAACCGTCAACCGTCAAAATTGGAAAAAAAACCGTTAAAAGTCAAATCTCCTTGCTTTGAGACCCTCTTCTTAAGGGAAAGAATTAATACCCCTCTCTAGTTATTCCTGTTTCCTTAACATACATTTCCTCTTAGATAAGCATAATCCGCGGAAGTCCAAAGTCACGCGTTGAAAGGGAAGTCGTGAATAAAATAAATGTTTTATAAGTTCATGTTGAATTTACCTGATTCAGCTGTTTTATTCCTTTTTTAACAGTTATTTAAAGCTCTTACTTTTCTATCAATTCTTTATTCTTAACAACAGAACCAAACGCTATATTCACACCTTTCTGAACTTGGCAGCGATTATCATATTTTATGTTTTGCTCTTCCTTTAATCAATATTAATATGCAAATGAAACGAGATACCTCTATTAAGTCATTAAAAACAGGAACTGCTATTGGACCGTCTTTTCTATAACAGCAATCTCCTTGCAAGATGAATTCCTGTCGCCAACACAAGAGGTGTATGACGGATTCCCTGTACTGAAAAAAAAGAAAAGCTTCAGATTTTAACTCCATAGCCTGAGATCATACCCTCTCCCTATTATCCCTTTATGTCTCTCACGGGAAGAGGGCATGATACATTTCTTTGTCGGATCACATTTAAAAAAGCCAGAATCTGAACTTTTTTCTGATTGGATAGGAGACAATACGGATGATTTGCGCTGTTCCGATTGGCCAAAACGCCGCCATCCGTTAGTTGTTGTTCATTTCAGTCTGCATTTTTGCTTGCGTCATGAGCAGTGAATACACACGCGAGTTCGTTATGAAATTTCTGCCGGCTCAGTTTTCTTGAATTTGAAGAATGCCTAAATAGAAGTTTCATCCATTGAAATATTTTCCATCTCATCGTATACTAAAAAGTTGCAGTCAAAACTTCACCGATCATTTGAATGCAATTTGATACCGGCTACAAGTTACAGAAGCGACAAACGGGTTCACCTTTCAAATAATCAATTCATGAATGGAATCTTGACCTGGTTTGACTGAAATTCCTCCTTCAGAAATCTGCGAATTAGTCTGAGCGATCTTCGCTTTCACAACCCTTTCAGTTCGTGAAATATGGTGCTTCAGCCTAATTTTTTTTGTCACTGCTTTCGGCACAGAACGAAGTAAAAAAAATAACGCCTGATCTCAGGTTATTAACTCCACGGCAATGCAGTTTTCAATCACCGACTTTACAAAATTTTCTACCCATGGAAAGTTGTTTCTGTATCCGTGTTGTCTAAAGTATTAGGCTTAGATTAATTGTCATGTCCACAAATTTGTAATATAGAGAAAGAGAAAGACAGTGAAAAAGAGAAAGTAGGCGACAGGCCAGCGAAGCTCAACGAGAAAAAGAGCGACAGGGAGCTAGTGCGACAGATAAAAACTAAGGAGACATTTTTTGTTGGAAGAACAACATGAAAATTCTGTAGCGGCGGTGAGAAAATGAGAAAAAATTAAATGCTAGCGGCCACGAAGGTGAAAATGAGCGGCAGTGAAAAAATTAA